TGGCCCCACTCCAGGGACTGGAGCTCCCACCAACACAGGCTGTGCTCCAGCCTGTGCCCTCCTGTAGCTCAAGTCCTGCTCTGCCCTTGAGGAACTTGTCTTCACACATCCTTTGGAGAGCTTCAGCTGGACCATCCCAAGCTGCCGTGCCTCGTTTGAGGCAGACAGCTGAAATAATTCCTGCGTGAGTGAAGCCATCGCTGCAGCCCCGAGTGCCAGCTGAGCAAGGTACGAAGCTCTTTGATGATGAAAGGTGTTGCCAGCATGAAAGAGGCACATTTCAAATCATTGCTTAAGAGAGTGGCATCCTCAGCACGAGACAGCCAAGCGGGATCCAAACATTCTTTCTGCCCTTTGGTGGATGAGAAAGTAGGTTTGCAGGCCTCAGGTTGCTCGGTTTGCTCAGGACAAGTTCTGTTGGCACTGATGGCTCAGCAGCTGCCTGTGCCCACTGTTTCTTGAGCAGATGTGTGGACTTGAACAAGCTCTGTATCCCTTACAGGAGAAATTTGGGGGGACTGGCAGTAGGGTCTGGATCTTTTCATCCTGGTGTCACTGATGTTGGTGTGAGCCCAGGACGGGCAGGAGCAGGGAGCTGTTGGTACCTTATTGCTCTGCTCTCCTCTCCAGGTGCTGACCAGTGGTCAGAGCTCATGGCCTGCAAGGGCTCAGACCCTAAAAACCATCAGTCTCCTGCTCTTAGATGCTCTTCCAACCCAAGGACTCAGGCTGAGGACTGGGCTCAGGCACCTGCAGTGCCCCTTCACCTGAGATTTGGACCATCCAGCAAATAAGATCATCAGGAATTTCTCTAAAAGGAATAAACCATGGCATTTTACTCAAAATTTGGAGGTACCACATGTCCTTCTTGACACCGTGAAGAGCAGAATCTCAGAGGGGGATGCTTCTTGGTTTTGTAATTCTGAAAATTGGACTGTCAGCTGCTGTGCTTTGCAAACCCAGAGTCGTAACAGTTGCTTTTGGAATCCTCATCTCACAATTATTTCTGAGCCTTTCCCAAATTTATTGAGCCTTAAAACATCTTGCCAAGCAGTTTCCAAATGACTATGGAATTTAGTGTCTTGTTTGTTTTAGGGAAAGTGCAATTTATAAAGTTTCAGTATTTCACTAGATAAAAATTTATTTACAGAAAGAAAGAACCATTTTCTACCTCCTTCTACACCAGTTGACATTTTGGCTTTATCTTAGATATTAAAATAAAATAAAAATCTCAGCTTGTTCTTGTTTATTAAAAAGAAAGTCTATTACTATTTAAATGCTTCAAAAAAGAATTTAAGAAAGGAAATAATAGCTTAACCTTAAAATTCATGAGGAACAGTAAAACCTGTTATTTATCTTTCGCTCTGGGGGTGCTTTAGGACCCACCTGGTTCTCTGCAATCCTGGAACTTTTGAGATGATTTAAGCCAGGGCAAAGTGATTAAAGAATAGGAGCTCAGGAAGAAAACATTTTAGACCTATTTTGCACACAGGAGTGAAAAAATTCTGGAGACCTGGGTCCTGTTTGCCTTGACAGGTTTCATTTATTTCCAAAATCAAACAGGACTCATCTGCCAAGTTACCAGGATTTGTAAATGTCTGCTGCATCTGTGCCAGGTTCTCCCACTTGGAAAGGTGAAGAATTGGTCATAAATGGGCTCAGTTGCAGCAATTAGAAGTTGCCAAGGAGTTTGGGATGTCCACAAGCCAAGTACCTGTGGTCCTGCGGAAAAGCTGAGACATCTGAGTTCCTGTCAGTCTACCTGCACTCAGGTTTTCCTGTGGAAGAGCCTGAGTTGATGGCTGTCCTCTGGCTGTCCCCTGGGTGCCCAGGGTGTCCCAGGCTGTCCCTGGGTGCCAGTTATCTCCCACTGCCCAGGCAATGTCTCTGCTCTGACATCCAGCTTTGCTTTCTCGAACCCTGCATCAGCTCCGCGTGTTCCTGTGGGGAACGACCTTGTCTGGTGTTCCCTTAATTATAAACTCCACAGGGAAAAGGGAGATTTGCAATTATTAAGCCGAGTTCCCAAACTATTGGGAACTACACTGAGGCCGCAGAGCAGACTCAGCTCTGTTTTGAACCAGGTTAGTCTCCAGAGCTCGTCTCGCTGTAATATTGCTTAAAAAACACAGCTGACTTAATTATGACATAGTTAACATTCATCTAGTAATTAATGCGTATTACAGTGTCTGCTCTGGGCCTGACAGGGTTCCTACTGTGAGCTCATTTGATGGTGGATTGTACTGTACCGTGTGCTGTGCTTTGCCAGTCATCAGTCTTACGTGACGCTTAAAAATCTCTGACAACCCGACAATCTCCGCCTGGGCCAAGGAAATTACAGGATGTCCCAGCACATGGGAACTGAACAGAAAGATTGGTCAGTTAAAATCCTCATAATGGCCTATTAAATTGTTTTACTGTTCAGCTTCTCTGTAAAATATCAATTATCTCAATGGTTGTAATGTAATCAAAGTAATTAAATTCCAAAGGGCTTGCATGTAAAAACCAGAGCTTTGTAAATGGGAATCCAGCCTCGAGTAGTTTAGTTGGTCTGTTTGTGTTTAAAAGTTTCTCCAGATGACTTCTTTTTTTTTTTTTTTTTTTTTAGTGGCGTGTTATAGTTAGGGAACTGTTAAAGGGGTTTGTGTGTTTGAGGTTTAGGGTGTGTTTTGAGCTTGGCTCTGCACACAGCATTTGAACAATTGAGTAAGCAAAGCCTGTGTCAGAGCCCAAACACGGGGAACACCGCACTCGCCGGATGAAAAGCCGTGGGAAGCAGGGACAGCCTCTGCTCCAAGCCCTGCGCCTGGCTCCGTCTGCCTGAGTGTCCTCAGCTGATGAATAATCGCAGCTTACCCCTCCCTAAGTTCTGAGCAGTGTCTCAGGAGCACTTCAGGTGTGGAACTTGAAAAGTGTTCCCCTCGTAGGTTTATCACGGTCAGGATCTCGCCTCCGGTAACGTGTTTTACAGGAGTGGGAAAGAGCTAAGGAATGACTTATGACAAGAACATTCTCCCCGTTGTTTCTCCTGGTGTCGGGAGAGCTGCTCCTCCAGTGAGTTTTATCCTGGTTTCTTTCAGTAGAGCTTCTCCCTTAGATTTCATCAGAACTGAATCAAATCCTGTTTTGTCGGGGGCAAAATTACTTTGCTTACCACGACTTTTCTGAAATTTCATTTTGGGGTACACCATTTTCAAGTGTCCTAAAGGGTTCCAATTTATAGAAGGTGCTAAACATCCACACCTGGAAAGTTGATTTTAGTAGGATTGAGTAGCTGGATTTGCAGCGTTTTGGGGCATAGTCCAGGAAATGAAGTGACCTAATAGCCACCTTCCAGTACCAAGGAGGCCTTAAAAAAGATGGAGAAAGACTATTTATGAGAGCCTGGAGTGACAGGAAAGGGAGGAATGGCTTCAAACTGCCAGATGGTAGGGTTAGATAGGATATTGGGAAGAAATCCTTCCCTGTGAGGGTGGGCAGGCCCTGGCACAGGTTGCCCAGGGAAGCTGTGGCTGCCCCATCCCTGGAAGTGTCCAAGGCCAGGTTGGACGGGGCTTGGAGCAACCTGGGCTGGTGGAAGGTGTCCCTGCCCATGGCAGTGGGGGAGAATGAGGTGATCTTTGGGTCTTCCAACCCAAACCATTCTGTGATCCTATGAAATCCCCTGTAATTCATGGCAGACGATGTTCTGAAAGCAGCACCCCCAAGATGTGTGTGTTTGTCTCTGTGCTTTGTGTAGTCAACTTCCAGGGGCAACGACTCACCAAGGGAGTATTTATAACTCATTTAAAAAAGCAGTGAAATGGGTCTTTTATACCACTGCTGGATTTATAAGCCATTGGAAACCTGCATGAAATCTAGTGGAGTGTTCCCTCACTGGTTGGGGAAGAATTGAAATATATTAACCTATGTGCAGAGAAGTGTTGCTGTTTCTGTTTCTCTCAAATCACTAAAAAAGTACTGGACTCGTGGCTCCAGTTGAGAAGTAGTTTCCATAGAGAAAGAGCTCATGGAGGCAGGGAGATGCAAAGAAAGTGTTAATGGCAGAGTGGAGGGTTAGGGAGCTAGGGAAACAAAAGGAAAATCCAGGAATGCTCATAATGTGCAACAGCCTTGGGGGATTTTTTGTGTCTTCAGACAAAATTAGTGAAGGGAGTTTAGTCTGAGGGCCTCCTGGAAGCTCTCTGAAATCAGCACATAAGCTGCTCCTGCCTCAGTAAGCCCTGTGCTGTGTCCCAGGGAGAGCTGTGGAAATGTGGTGCTTCCACAGCTCCTTTTTAATTGTGAAAGTAGTTAATTGGTGTGAACAGAGTTACTTGATCAAACTGCTTAAAAGTTTCTGCAGTTGGTTTGGAGATGTAAGTTCTCCATCTCCTGCCACCTCATTAGCAGCCTGTTCTGCCGCCTGCCCAGGTCTGTGATGGAGCTTCTCCCATGCCAGGAGCAGTTCCCTCCCTCACACAGTGGGCAGACAGAGAGCTTAGCCATGCTCCAGGCTCCCAGGGTGGTGGTGTGTCCCCAGGTCTCAGGAGGAGCAGCTTTTCCTCCTTGCCTGGTGTCACTGAGCAGGGCTCCCTGTGTCTGGTCGATGTGACACTGCTCTGCCCGCTGGCTCTTCTCTGGATGCACCAACTCAGGAAACCAGGAGCAGAATCAAGAGGCTTCCAAGAAAACAGTCTCTTGCCCAACTTTGCTTCATTCCCACCAGCTCCCTCAGGCAGAGACTGAGTTGGTGCAGAAACCAATTAGTGATAGTTCATTAGGAGGAAGTGACTTGCTGAAGCGGTTTGCAAATTGAGTGTTCCAAACGCAGACAACCCACCATGCACAACCCTGTGTGAATGCCCTTTAAACCAGAGGCTCCTTATCTCATGGAGCTGCCCTGAGCAGTGCCACAGGTGGCCTGTGTGTGTAGCGCTGGCAGCAAACAGCCCGTGACAGCCGAGTTCTGCATGTGGCACTTCTAACTCCTGATGTCCTTTCTCTCTGCCCCATCACAGGTGCTCTGCTGCTGGGAGGGATCCTTTACTCCTGGCAGTTCCCTCACTTCAACGCCCTGAGCTGGGGCCTGCGGGAGGATTACTCCAGAGGAGGTTACTGTATGATGTCCGTCACCCACCCAGGGCTGTGCAGGAGGGTGGCTCTGCGCCACTGCTTGGCCTTAATCGGACTCTCGGCGGTGGCTCCTGTCCTCGACGTCACCACGTGGACTTTCCCCGTCATTTCGCTCCCCATCAACCTCTACATCTCCTACCTCGGCTTCCGCTTCTACAGGGATGCAGATCGCAGCAGCTCCAGGAAGCTCTTCTTCTGCAGCCTGTGGCACCTGCCGATGCTGCTGCTGGTCATGTTCACCTGCAAGAAGTCGGTCCTGGACAAGGAAGACAAAGGCGACCTGCTGGGAAAGGGGGAAAGTCACGGGAGGGCTCTGGAAATTAGATTGCCTTAAATGTCGATTGTATGTTGTCCTCGTGGCACGTCAGGTAGTTTATTTTAGTAATTACTGTGGGGGATCCTGTGGGAATCTGTTTGAGGAAGAATCATTTGTGCCTAGCGGCCACTTCCTGCATTCATTTTCTATTTTCTTTTGCGAGGGAGTAGCCAGGAGACCTCAAAGCCCTCGGGGGCCCCAGGGCCATCACACACCAGGATTTTGCCTGTGGCAGAAGCACATGGCTTTGGGGTGGCCTTCTGGAGTCCCTGTGGGCCGTGGTCTCTGTCCTCGTGGGTAGCTGGGTCAGTTAAGTTAACGAGTCACATGCGCACACGTTCCACCGCCAGCACTGGCAGCCTCGGCGAAACCGCCGGGCGGTGACCCATGAATGATTTCTCACCCTGCTCCCCAAGCACCCTTTCCTTTAATTTAAGCTTTGAGGCACACACGGTGGGTTGGGGTTTTTGTCTCAATCCCCGCCATCCCTGCGCTGGTGTTACACCAAAACCCTCCCTTTCAGGGGCTTTTTTCAGTCAGTTGCTTTTCCCGAGGTTCCCGTTCACCCCAGGAGATTTTTGGCTTGCATACAACTGGCACAGTGCTGAAGGGGTAAAGGAAACTGCCTTTCAGCACACCACACACCAGCATTTAAACACCCTCCAGGTGAAAGCTCTCCTGTAGCACATCCCTTGAACACACTGAGCCGTTCTATTGTACTTCCATCACGGGGAGCTTCTGGGTCCCACGTGGTTAGAGTTTGAACGCTGGGTGTCAGGTCTTCAGCTGGTAAAAATCACCATTACTGTTTCTGGCAGTGAGGCTGTGAAAGGTGGAGGAGGTGGGAAGCAGGTCCCAGAGTCAGGTGGTTGTAAGGATTTTCCATGCTCATGTGTCTTGTGCCAGCCCGTTCGGTCTCGGCGTCCTCGGACATGCTCTGGACTGGCATCAAGAGTTTGAGCTCTATTTAGTGTCACACTGTGGTGGCTCAGAGAAAGGCTTCACTTTGAGGGTAATTAATAGGTAAGGAAACACATTTACAGAAAAATGGTTGAGGATTTTAGCCTAATTCCATAATGTTCACTTGCTGATGCAGCCTGTGTCTCTCCAAAGCAATTACTGTGGATGGTCTCCCGAGGGAAGTGCATTGTCTCTGCTATCTGATACACTGAAGAACATTTCTGGCCACAGTGCTTGTGGATCCTGCAGGGCTGTGGCTCACCCTCAGCCTGCCTGGGGCTGGCTGTGACCTGCTGGGATGCTCCCAGCCACGGCAGCACCCAGAGCAGACAGAGGCGGTGATAGTTTATTGTGGTAGTCAGTGCCTGTTACGACTTGATGTGTTTCCATGCCAAGATTTCTTTCCCACGTGGAAAGGGACTGGGCAGCAGGTTGAGCATCAATCCAAAGATACAGCAGCACCTGAAATGGGAGACACTGTCTCGAACCTGATCCCAAGTAAAATCCTTCAGGAAACATCACAAATCTGCCACCGGCACAAACCCTTCCCAGGCTGCTCTCAGGACCCAAGCCTGACTCTGGTCTGGGTTACGCTGTTGTAAATCAGAAATGACACGGTTTAACCTCTGCTGTGCTGGCAGAGGTGCTCTCAGGAGCAGGGCCACCCTGGTTTATGTGGCTCTTAAGGAATTGGCTGCAGGGTTTGGTGACTCTGGAGTGATTGCAGATGACAGGCAGGAGTCCCCTCTCGCTGTCTGACAGGCTCTGTTGTGCTCAGGTTACTGCAGGCAGCACTTTGTGGAACTGTCTGGAAACTCCTGTGCAACTCCTGAATTTGTTTTAAAAATGCACCCAGTCTTCTCTGCAATAAAGTACAGACTGTACAACAGTGATGAATGCTCCAAATCTGTTTTATGCTGTTCACTTCTGTTTGGAACTCTGGTCCAGTTCGGTTAATTGCCAAGGTATTTGGTAGTTCTGTGGCGCTTCTCACAGCAGCATGTTCTTGGTCACTGCAAGAGCTTGTGAAACACTGATTTATTGTGCAAGCAGCGACTGAAACCAAGTTGCATGTGAGTGGAAAGGGTTTGTACCAAACCAAAGAATTTGGTCAACCTTAAGCTGACAGAGGAACCTGAAAAGAGCAAATGGCTCACAGGAAAATTCACGGATTTTGCTCCCAGGGGCAGAAAGTGGTGCTGAAGCAGGAGGGTTGTGGTTTTCTCCTAAGTCATTCCAGAGCCAGCCTTCAGATGGCCTTGCAAGTACCGGCTGCTGTCCTGAGGAATTCCATTCTGATTAAAGGTCCCAAGGACATGCCTGTGGTTGAGCTTGCAAGAACAGTCATCTTCATTTCTAGGGCCAAAATGTGTAACATCCACAGGATTTAGGGCTTGACAGGAGCTTTGTAATCATCACTGTCTGCAAAATGCAGGTCACTGGGCTGCACCATCTCCACACCCAGTGGGTCTGGCCTGGAGAGAAAGCATGGCTTTAGAATCAGTGGATCTGGGGTTTAAAAGTAAGAAACAGTCAATAAAATAAGCTTTATTTTTTGCCTAGGAGGTGTTCCCTGCTCTGCTACAAACTGACCATAAACAAATGAAGCCAATCTACTGCCATTTTACTGCCTTTTGGGAGTGTTGCAGTTGCCTGTGCTTTGGAAATAAACACCTTGCCAAACTGAAGCCTTTTTTTGCAAATGGACAGTGCAGCAGGTGCTCTCAGGTCTCTTTTTCAATATTGCTGTTGCTGCTTTGGAAATTAAAAATCCTGAACTGTTCTGCCCTCATCCAAGGGTGTTTGTGGTCCCTGTGAGGATTGATGCCAGCCTTCCCCCCTCCAGCACTGCTGATATTGCTGCCCAAATTCTGCAGGGAAAGGGGCCCTGGGTCCCATCTCGGTGCTGCTCCCACAACAGGCAGCTCTGCACCACCAGGAGCTGGACCAGAGCTCACGTCGGAATCTGAGCCAGAGGCTCAAGAGGATGAAGCTGGTTTTAGTCTGTTTGGACTCTAAACCTTTTGTGTGGTTTTGTGGATAAAACAGTAGCCCTGGGGCTCAGGGGATCTTCATTCTTTCCAGACCTCTGCAGAAGAAATGCTCTCCAGCTGTAAAATAGAGAAACTTCACCTTGCTGGAGGAGGGAACAGCTCGTGGCTTTGTCAGCCCTGGCCCATTGTTCCCTCCATCAGAGCAGGGTGAGTGCTGGGTCAGGCTTTAGGGAGCCTTGCAGGGAGCAAGTCACTGGGTTCCCCCACATCCCTCCTTTGCCCTGACCTTCAGCAGATCACTGAGAACAGCACTGACCTCGCAGGGCGGGGTGAGGAGCCGAGTGACACAACTGGGAGTTGTCCCGAGCTCTCTCAGGTTTGCAAGGAGCCCCCAGGTCCCCTGTGAGCTCACACACAGTACCCTGGCACTGCTGGCATCCCAGTGCCCCTGACACTGCTGGCATCCCAGCACAGCAGCAGTTGGTGTGGCTCTGCTCTCTGTTCCATCATGAATGAGGAAACCCAATCCCAGCGCTCACGGCACTTTCCCTCTCGTTTCCCCCACTGAGGGTTTTTTTTTTCTCGCTTCCTGTATCAGTCTCCGATACAATCTGCCCCAGCAGAGTCACACATTCACACTCTCCTGGCTCCAGCAGCGTTTCCCACTCAGCCAGGCCACAGCACTTCAAGGCTTACACAAAACACACACGTCCTTTTCAGTTCTGACCATCCCAGGAGAGTTGGAATGGAAACAAGAGTGATACTATTAGAAATCATTATCATTACAGATAGAAAGCATGTTGTCCTGGTTGCTCTCCAGAGGTGATTAGATATTCCCTCTTCCTTGGAAATGCAGGCTGTCTGCAGAACACTTGGCTATTAAAACAGAAATATCAGCACTGTTTCCCTCCCGAGCAGCTCTGCTGGAGGTGGTAATGCAAGACAGGCTGTCCCCAGTGGCATTTCTAATCATGGAATTTCTTAACCAGGCAAAAAGCCAGCCCAGTCAAGGGCTCATGGGATGCAGGATGCCACTTGTGCTGCCCGTAGGACCTTGAGTTGGTTGTTTTGCCTCTCGGAGCTGCTATTTCTTCTCGCAGTCCTGGCAAGGTCAGTGCTGCAGGGCAGGGCTTGGCCCCTGTGGGTGCTTGTCCAGCACTTGGCCCTGCCCAAGACAAGTCAGACTCTGGTTCTGATGTTCATCATCTCCCAAACAGTGTGGTGTTAGTCTGGAGTCAGAGGTGACAGCTGAGTGGTCAGAAGTGTCACTGGTGAGGATCCCTCAGACTGTGCCTTGCTGGGTGGTTCCCTCAATGTGTTTTAGTCCCCTCTGAAATAAATGTACTGCAGGTTTCTAGGACTTTGACACGAGCTCCAGCAAGCTTTGGAGCTGCTTTCCAAACCCTTCTGTTCACACAATCACAGAATAGTCAGGGTTGGGAGGGACCCCTGGGGATCCCCCAGTCCAACCCCCCTGCCCATGCAGGGTCACCTGGGGCAAGTGACACAGGAACACATCCAGGTGGGGTTGGAATATCTCCAGAGAGGAGACTCCACACCCTCCCTAAGTTCCAGGACTCTGCCACCTCCATGGCAAGAAGTTCATCCTCATGTTGAGGTGAAACTCACTGTGTCTTAGTCCAGACTAACCAGGCCCAGCTCCTGCAGTCTCTCCTCATCAGAGAGATGTTCCAGTCCCTTAATCATCTTTGTGGCTTCCACTGGTCACGTTCTCCCTGACTCAAAGGAAAGGAGGCCCGTTGAGCAGGGCATGTGTAAGGTGTCCCAAAGCCATTGAAAGCACTGGTAGAGTAACACATTTCAAAGAGCTGGCAGGAGCACCTCTCATCAGCTCCACCTCACACACTGTCTGTCACCTCTGCTTTTCTGCTTCCAGACTTTAACTGTTTGCACTGAAGATTTTCCAGCCTGGGTCGGTGCCTCAGGCTGGGATTTAGTTTCCAGTGTTCCAAAAAGGCACAGTTCAACTGTTTCACAGAGCAGGTTTGGCAGAAAGAGCTGTTTTCCCACAATGTGGAGATGTTTTTCCTCCTGCTCCCAACCAGTTCTGGCATCCCCAGGCCTTGGAGCAAGAACTGAGGGTTTGGCAGTGGGCTCAGGTTGGTGCATTCATCCGTTCTGGGAAGGTACTGGGCGTTACCCCAGTCCCTGA